ACATATTCACCAAATGACAAATAATTTCTCAAATAGAGAAAATTCATAGTTGAAGGAAGATAAAGTTAAAGTATGGGTTCTTTTTATTTTTTGATGACTGAATTCGAACAATTTGAAGAAGCTACCTAGCTAAGGACACAATCGAAGTTGAAATTTTTTTAAGGACAATGGAATACATGTTCACCTACGGCCATGTACCAGAGCAAGTGAAAGTCATCTAAGCCTCATCTACGAGGTAGTGTTGGACATTGGTGGAATACCTGTGTTAATATGAGCAAAACTGAGGTTATCTCATGGGAGAAATTATGTGAATTAATTGTTCTGAAATAAATTTTTGATCCCAAAAAAATACCAATGATGTTGCCAACAGCTCTCAAAACCTCTCACGTCCACGTAAACTGAGTTTCAGTACACTTGGACAAACCGTTGGTGGCAAGTGACCTTCTCCAACGGTCAAGTCAACTAGATGAATGATATAGGGTGTGTGATAGCTTTGAACGTGAGCTTCCAATCAATCAAAATGGGTTCGGCTTGGGAGAAGATAGCTGAAGATGTATGTAGCAAGAATATAGCTTTAATAATCTAAACTTGCATTAGTCTTGAATGGCACTAAGTGTGAGATTTTGTACTTAAGTAAGATAAACGAGGCCCGTTGGATGATAGGGCACATAGCCTCATCAGATCGATTGACCTTTCTCGTCGCATATATCAATCAATCAAGGCATTAAATGTTAGAGCCCCTTTCGTATCCATAAGCCCTAGTTTGGCATTTAGGATTTGACCGTATAGGTGTGCAGAGGCAGAATTGGTAGTGAATTGTCTTGTCAATCATTGCAACACAAGATTTGTTAAGGATCTTGCAATCGCCTCGTCAGGATAGGTTCATACATGGGGTATCTACCCAAATGGGGTCGATCCTGTCTCGTTCAAGGGAGAAGGGGTCGCCTTTATATATAACAGGGTCGTCCATGTTGCTGTGTAAAGCGTGGGGCCCTCACCGTATATGATACGTGGACTTTCTAGTCTAAAAAGAAAAAATATTTTGTTAGTTGAAGGTTGCGACGGCGCTGAGGGATATGTGCGAGGCTTTGGTAGCTGAAGTATGTGATAAGGTTGAAGGTGCTGGCAAGGCCCATTAAGCATATATCGAGCCCTTTTAAGAGTTGAAGCCTGTGATAAGGCTAAAAAGGTGTTAGGCGAGGCCATTGAAGCACATATCTAGCCCTTTTAGGACCTGAAGCCTGTGATAAGGCTAAAAAGGTGTCAGGCGAGGCCCTTTTAGCATATATCGAGCCCCTTTAAGAGTGAAAGCTTGTCAAGTGGCGTGCTCTAATGATTTGAAAGGCACGTTGATTCCCAATAAAAATAGCTAGGTGGTATGGCAATTTCCCAATAAAAATAGCGCATTTGTTAAGGTTTTCACCCATTAATATTTGAGTTTCTATTATTATTTGAGAACTAAATGCACTAAGTACTTCTATCTCTTGGTTTAGGTTGCAAACGGGTAAAAATTGTGAAAAATTGAATAGAAGAGCGAAAAATGACCAAAATGGAAGAAAGTGAAAATTCAGGGACTAAAGTGCAAATGCTCAAAAATTGTGTCGAAGCTCACGATGAAGGTTTGAGAATCCTAAGGGTCAATTGAAGCAATTAGAAGTAAAAAAGGAATGGAATATGATCAAAAATGATCAAAATCAATTTCCAATTTGCACAAGATATATTCCAGATTTTTAACTGAAAATTGAGACCCATTTTTGGCATAGTAAAATTCCGAATTGGAAACAGTCTATTTCTAACAAAGTTGTAGCTCTTTGAGTTATCTTTCCAACTCATTTTGAATCTTCTAAATTTGATATCGGAAGATAAAGTTATAACTAAATTACTGACTGCGTGCACAGACAAAAAATCCGTGTGCGAAGGCAACTTTCCTTATTCGATTATAACTCTTTTGGAAACTAATTTGGACGTGATTTTCATCCAATTTCGACTCCTACAAATACTTAACAGCAGAATACATATGGAGAAGACCCCCATACACAATTCTTCTCCTCTTTGGGCTCAATAAACTCATGGAGAACTAAAATCCTTGGTGAAGCTACGAATGAACTCGGTTGGAATTGTTGATTTCATGTCTTTTATTCATTTAGTTTGATCTTTTATTTGCCAAACAATGCTACGATTTAGATTTTTATTTTCTTGAATTTATATTGAAATCGGTTTAATAATTACAAGATTTTTCATGGATTCAGTCAT